TCTGATTACAGATAGCCTGGGATTACAAAGATTTGTATTTTAAAGAAAACCAGTTCGAAGGGAGAGCATAGTTTGCTTTTTGGGTTAAAAGAATTTCTTAATATAAAATTTGAATGGCATGACAATTAGATTAGACTGTACAGAAACTGAAATCTACACACACACTATACTCATAGTCACACAATGCTGATGTTGTTAACATTAATCATTTGAGAATAAAGTATAACAATAATAATAATTTGCATGGTTTGATGTGATATGAGCTAACCGATCTTTAGATTTAATCACAATTTAATCACACGGAAGATAACTCCGCACACAGCTGCAATTCCAGGTTTTCAAACAGAGATGGCGACAAAGAGGCAAAACTTACGGACTGCAGTTTTAACACTACTGAAAAATATTCAAGCAGCTACTTTTTCAGTACTTTTTAAGAATTTTTCAAGAATCGCACGTTCCTACGAACCTCTTAAGGTCAGAAATTTTCGTATGCGTTTTTTCGTGTTCATCATCGTCGCGCACAGAAACCTTGCACACTGAGCGAAAATGCTTGCTACAGATGCGGAAAAGGCAGAAAATCAAACCCGATCTCAATTTTTTTGTGACGGAGGAAAATTTTGGAGGCAGTGTGTAAACGTGAATGACACGTGAGGTCTTATTTATTTTTTAACGTGCGACAATTTTGGGAAAAAAATTCGGACTCTGTGTGCAAAGACCTTTAGAATTCATCTTAAGAATTGTAACTTTTTTTCTCTTCCCGCAGAGAGCGTGTTCGCCAGCCTTCCTCACATGGAAAGGGGCGTGGCCAAGGTCCTGGGCGGAGACCCCAAAGGGAACAACTTCCTGTACACCAACGGCAAGAGCGTGATCATCAGGAACATCGAGGTGAGACGCAAGGAATATCTGGGGTTCAGTGATGACAGACAAAAATGTTTTAAAAAATTGTTCTCAGTTTGTAAAAAAAAAACAAGGAAGAATTACGTTTATCGTAACGCATGTTTAGGGGAAGTTTATAAAAGGGTCTTAAAGCAGATTGTTGTGTAAATATGTATTCTATCGTAATTGTACAATATGGTATTTTGTACATGCAACATGCAAAAAAAAAAAAAAAGTCATTAATTTCAACAAATTTACCATCAATACAGACGCTGAATTAGGGCTTCGACTATGACAAAATCATAATTGTCCATTATTCCCTTGAAATTGTAATTGCGCTTATTAATTACAATTATCACAATTTACATTAAATTATGTTTATATTATTGTTTGAAGCAACTGCATGCCATATTTTTATATAAAAATAAACAAGCTGAAAACACTCTTAAGTGAGGAACTTATGTTGCTTTTCTGTAGTATTAAGCCTCAGATGTCAACTATACATTGGATTGGTTTCTTCTTTAAATGGAAAAAAAAAAAGTAAAAAATGCATGGTATTATAATGTTATACTCAAACTAAAATTAAAACAATGGAAAAACCCTTAAGATAACCTGAAGAAATAAAAAACACATCTTAAGTACGCAGAAAATTAATAGTTATAAATTCTATTGTAGTTGTACATGCAAATTAGTTCATTGCAAATGCAATTTTTTTTTTTTTTATTAATTTTAACAAATTTAGTGTCAATACAGACACTGCATCCAGCTTGTTTTCACACTGACATGCACTGAACCTAAGGGAAATTCTAGGCTAAATGTTTCCCGTTCATAATTTGGTGCATTCGTGTTCATTCAACTCATAAATGCGATCTTTGTGATTCGTCTTGAATGCATCATTGCTGATGTGTGTTTCTGGTGTTCTTGCATGTGTAGCGTGAGTGGCCATGCCTTGAATCCATTAGTGTCTGGTTATACGACAGTTACTGGTGTTTATACTGTGTATTTTCTCACTGTTCATTGATTGTGGCTTTAACAGTATTCACATTTAAACACTCTCTCTCTGCTCCAGAACCCAGCGATCGCAGACGTCTACACCGAGCATCCTCATCAGGTTATCGTGGCCAAATACTCTCCCAGCGGTTTCTACATCGCGTCGGGCGGTGAGTGCCGGACCTGAGCTCTGAGATCCGCTCCGCGTGTTCTTGAGTGTGTCTCTCTCTGCGCAGATGTGTCGGGGAAGATCCGTATCTGGGACACGACGCAGAAGGAGCACCTGCTGAAGTACGAGTACCAGCCCTTCGGAGGGAAGATCAAGGACATCGCCTGGACCGAGGACAGCAAGAGGATCGCCGTGGTGGGGGAGGGGCGAGAGAAGTGAGTGACAGCCGCAGGCCACGCCCACTGCGGAAGGCCACGCCCTTGTCCTCTGCAGTGTTGAGAGTAACGCATTACAAGTAGGGTTGGGAATCGAAAATCAATTTAATTGATTTTTGTTCATGGTATTCAGCAGCAATTCAGTGTTTTGCAAACACGGAATAAATGTTTGATATTTAAATGTTTGACTTGGAATGTTGGAATCGAAATTGGGAATCAATAAGCAGAGTCAGAATCGGAATTAGAATTGATAAAATTCAAACGATACCCAACCCTAATTACAAGTAATGAGAGTTACATAATTACTTTTTTTTTTTTTTTTTTTTAAGTAACTATTAAAGTAACGCATTACTTTTTAATTTAGAAGGAAATATCTGAGTCACTTTTTGAAATAAGTAACAGCAGTTACTTTGTTTCCATGTGTTGAGTGACAGCTCTGGTGTTGCCATGGTGACAGAAATCAGGAGTAAGTGCAGAGCGTTGTGTGTGAACATGATCTTACTGTAGTTCTAGACTCAATATCAACATGTGTTTACTCATCTCACTGCACACAAACACATTCAGTGTTCCTCGAAATCAATAAAAACAGTCAAATGCAAACTCAGAATATTACACACACCTGCAATAAATGTTAAATAAGACAAATATCATTTATGTATTTAATCCCATTTTATTAACCAATGTCTTTGCTGCTGAGCTTCGATGATCCAATTCAACCATAATAATAATCAAAAACAACACATTTGTGTATAATTTTTGTTATTACTGAATAGTGTTGAATCCTTGATGTGTTCTTCTCCTGCGTCATATTCTTCATGTGATTAGTTTGAGCGGCGCCCTCTACTGTACAGACGTGAATTTACGTTTCCTTCAGCCGGAGACGTATTCACTTCACTTCTGGTGTGAAAGAGCTTTACATTTGTAAAAGAACAACTTTTTATGTTAAAAACAAACAAGCAAGCCCCGCCCAGATTTAAAGAGTAACTCAAATGTAACGTAACGCATTACTTTCCATAAAACGTAACTAAGTAACGTAATTAGTTACTTTTTTAGGAAGTAACGCAACATTGTAATGCATTACTTTTAAAAGTAACTTTCCCCAAAATGTTCATTTGCCTTTTAAGATTGCAGCGGCTGTGATCGCTCTATATGTTAATCTGTGTTGGATTAGCACACAGCGAGCGTAATATCATAAATTCAACAGCTCAATCATGAGTAAACGCACTTCCACAGCCCATCACACATACGCATCACTTTTAAAAGTAACTTCCCAGCGCTGCTGATGTGTGTGTCTGCGCAGGTTTGGCGCGGTGTTCCTCTGGGATTCGGGCTCGTCGGTCGGAGAGATCGTGGGTCACAGTAAGATCATCAACAGTGTGGACATCAAGCAGACGCGGCCGTATCGTCTGGTGACCGGCAGCGACGACAACTGCACCACTTTCCTCGAGGGGCCGCCCTTCAAGTTCAAATGCACCATTAGCGTAAGTGCATGCGTTCTTACATTACTCAATATACCTCCGTTTCCACGCAAACACTAGCGTACTCGTTCAGCCGAACAAATGCACTGTTTTCACTATAACTCTCCATAAGTTATGAGCGATTAAAAATGCGCTCTTTTAAACTAGAGTTGCGTGAATCTCTGAAGCACCTCACACACGCTCATGAACGCTTCTGTATGTGTTCTTGCATCTCTAGTAGTTTGTTGTTGTTATGTTTTCGACTATTACTGTTATAAATTACAAATGTACTTTGAAAAAAAAAAAAAAAAATGTATTAAAAATTTATATTTTATAATTATAATTAGGGTTGCAAAGGGGCGGCAAATTTCTGGTAAATTTCTTAAATTTTCTGAAGGTTTACAAAAATCCTTTCAAAATTTACACCCCTTTGCAACCCTGATTATAATTTAAAAAAAATTTTTACTACAAGTTACTAACTCTAGAGCGAAGCTGCGCTCTCATTACGGTAGTTTATTCAGATGTTCATCTTTCTACTGTAAGCCCAGAGTGAATGCTTTGTTGGTGTTGGTGTTGGTTTGCAGGATCACAGTCGCTTCGTGAACTGCGTGCGGTTTTCTCCGGACGGGAATCGTTACGCTTCGGCCGGAGCCGACGGACAGGTGAGGCGTTTATCCTGATAATTAACAGATTCCTTCACATTTGTTCATTTGACAGGAGCCTCTTCTGAAGTGACTTGTAGTGCATTAGCACAGGCTGCAGCAATATGGTTAAAAACATGTCATTGCAATTTATTTATTTATTTTTATTTATTTAAAATTTAAAAGCATTGTTTGTTTGTTTGGTTTAAAGAGCTTCAGGTTTGTTGTTGTTGTTTGTAGGGTTGCACAACTTAATATTGCAAAAATAATATTGTGATTATATATCAATAATATCATCATCATCATCATTAATAATGTCATCAATAATAATAATCATTATCATCAATATTAGGATTTTATATAGAAATATAGAAATGTATTACTATACTTCAATTTTTATATTCTATATTAGTATTTAATTTGTAATTTTAATCTAAATAGAATTTAATTAAAAATAATAACTATTACTATAAATATTCTATAAATAATATGATTTGTTCACATATATACACACATATTGTTCACCCCTGTTTCTGTCTCCTGCTCAGATTTTCCTGTATGATGGTAAAACGGGAGAGAAGCTGGGGTCTCTGGGAGGAGAGAAGGCTCATGATGGAGGCATTTACGCTGTGAGTGTTCGTCAGTGTGACGCGTGAGGAGGATGATGATGATGATGATGATGCTCCTCTTCCTCAGGTCAGCTGGAGTCCTGACAGCACGCAGCTGATCTCGGCGTCAGGTGATAAGACGGTCAGACTGTGGGATGTGGGCAGCGGCGTGGCTGTCTCCACCTTTAACCTGGGCTCAGATGTTCAGGACCAGCAGCTGGGCTGCTTGTGGCTGAAGAACCACCTGCTCAGTGTCTCTCTGTCTGGATACATCAACTACCTGGACAGGAGCAACCCGGACCGGCCGCTGCGCACCATCAAGGTGAGACACCGCCTGCTGCTTCAGCTGCTCTGAGATCAGCAGAGTGACGTGTTATTACTGTGTTATTACTCAGGGACACACCAAATCCATCCAGTGTCTGACGGTCCATAAGGCAGACGGCCGATCCAGCATCTACTCAGCCAGCCACGACGGACACATTAATATCCTTCAGTGAGGAGAAGCTGACATTATTGAATATGTTACTCACTTTGCAATAAACTAACAAAACGCATGATGTAGTACAGCAGAGAGCAGTTAGAATGACACCAAAGGTGAGTGTATGTGGCCAAAATATGACTTATTCTTATACAGTGACAAACTGATAATTTCCTACTGACACACTACAGCAAAAGACAGAAATATCTGACTTAAAACCACTTTCTAGCTGCTGAAAATACTAGTGTTCTAATCATTTTGGCCACCGCTGTACATCCATATGATATAGTTAATCAATATTACGAGCAATTTAGCTGTTTTCCCGAATAACAGCATGTTTGCAAATGTGATATTTTATACAACAGTAAGTCAATATGGTGACACATTATTGTCAATATTTTGTTTTGCATCTCTGAACAACACACAGCAGTGCTTTGTTACTGAATGAATCTGTGTTTTTGAATGAATCAGTTGAGTGAATGATTCACTCTGATGGTTTTACTTATTTAAAGCATCATTTAATTACATAAAAATCCCTAAGAATCTTATAGAATTATGCAACATAAATGAACTCGAGCTGAATGAAACTGTAAGTGCCACATCAGATGCAGCTTCTGCAGTGCAAAGATGGATTTTGTTGATATGGATTTTAATTAATTGGTAAAACCTTATAGTGTTTTATTATTTGAACTGAATTTATTGATTAAATGTAAAAATTTGACATGAAAGATAATGTATACCTCTACAACTGCCCTTATTTTGGTAAAAATCACCTGGAAATCAGTTCAGGTGGCTTATGTAGCATTTGTTGAGTTAGTTTCTGTGACCGCTGTGAACTGACCAGCACACAGAACATGGAAAACTTACTGCTCAGCTGATCACGAGAGGCCGAAACCAGCACAAAAACACGCAAAATATAGTGTAGTTCCCATTAGAATATGGCAGAGATGTGATTTGTGGTGAGAGTGTCAGTCCTTGACCTGATCTGCACATTACTGGGACTCTGAGAGCGGCGAGAACGAGGAGTTTGTGGGTAAAGGACACTCAAACCTGGTGTCCAGGATGACTGTGGACGAGTCGAGCCGTCTGGTGACCTGCAGCATGGACGACACGGTCCGCTACACTGACCTGAGCAAGAGAGAGTACAGGTGAGCCTCACACACACTAGGGCTGTCAAAAAAAATTGAATTTCGAATATTTGTCGAATTTAAAATAAAAACCCACATTCGAATGCCAAACCGTTGCATCAGGCAGCCTTATCAGTGAAGCACGAAATGTGACGACGATGTAAGTGTCGTTGCATTTTAATGCTTTTGTTAGCCTATCCAGTTGAAGCCACTAGATGCTGCGCTGCTACGTTGTTCATTCAAAATATTGCAGAAAAAGAGAACATCAATGCGGAGATAATGTTTATGTCAAAACTGAAACCAAGCCACGCATATTTATAGCATTTTCTAGAGGGACATCTATCAGCATTGCACTCGCGTCTCGCAGAGAGCGGCATGTTTAGAAAGCCATGGAAAATTTATATAAGTTCAACTTTTTAAAAACATGTCTCAAGACGTTATGGTGGTTTTCCCCCATCCCACTGCATCTCATGTTTTTAAATGAAGTGTTTGTGATTGGTTTTCGGACCTTTGTATTAAACTATACATACATGCATGATGCTGTAATGTGCACCTCAAAAGCCTCTTGTTGTCTTCTTTGCGGCGTCTGGACCTGCTCGGATGTGTGTGCTGGTGGTTCTCAGCCACAGTGGGGCAGTGTGGGGTTGTGGGATCGGGCATCAGCCTCAATCGATGAAACCATAATGCAGCAGCTTCTGTGGAATTTGGTCATAATGTTGTCAGATGGATATTTATCCAAGAGTCTGTTGACTTCATTTTAAAAGACAGCACATATTTGTCAATACACACCAACATAGGCAGTGCTGTGTATATTTTTGAATTGTTATTGCTGCAACTGTAGCAGTTATGAGCAGAGAGGGTTCTCAGATGTTTTATTTCATTTGTCCATTGGTCTCCTCAGAGAAATTTTGCCTTGGGAAACAAGGTTGCTGTTACATTTACACACTCAACATATAGTATGAGATCCATTTACAAGCAATACCACCGCTTATTATTCAGTAACTTTGTTAATAATGACACACCATAGAACGTTTTCTTATTCTTCCCAGTGGGCGTTAAATCCTACGCCGTGTGTTAGATGTGTTCAAGTTTTCTACCCTCCTGAAGCACCTCTTCCTCAAATATATCTTCCGAAGAGGAAGGGTGCAAAATTGGAATTTGTCTTAGGATCTGGGACATTTAGTAGTAAATTACCATACCATGGTAAAATCCCATAATGACCACATTTGCTCATAAAATATTTGTGACATATTAGTATTTACTTCAAAAAGGTTCAGTCTACACCGGAAGTGCAAGCATTGATTTATCCTTAACCATATGCATGTATGTTCATCATAATTCATAACACTTTATTAGAAATATAGACAACTGAGACTATTATACAGTATGAATTAGGGCTGTCAAAAAAAAAATGTGATTCGTCGAATTAAAAAAAAAAAATCCACCATTTTAGGTCTGCGTCAGCCGTCAGGCAGCCTTATCAGTGGCGCACGAAATGCGACGACGATGTAAGTGTCATTGCATTTTAATGCTTTTGTTAGCCTATCCAGTTGAAGCCACTAGATGCTGCGCTGCTACGTTGTTCATTCAAAATATTGCAGAAAAAGAGAACATCAATGCGGAGATAATGTTTATGTCAAAACTGAAACCAAGCCACGCATATTTATAGCATTTTCTAGAGGGACATCTATCAGCGTTGCACTCGCGTCTCGCACAAGAGAGCGGCATGTTTAGAAAGCCATGGAAAATTTATATAAGTTCAACTTTTTAAAAACATGTCTCAAGACGTTATGGTGGTTTTCCCCCATCCCACTGCATCTCATGTTTTTAAATGAAGTGTTTGTGATTGGTTTTCGGACCTTTGTATTAAACTATACATACATGCATGATGCTGTTTTGTTTCTAATTGTTTAAGCAGCTTTAATTATATAAGGTTTATAAACATTATTTAAAATATTATGCACTTTTTTTCAAAGATAGTCGTGTTATTACGCTTTGAAGAAACATGCATAATATTTTGCTCGATGCGCCGCCCTCTTCTGGCCTCAGGAGAGAAGCCAAAAGCTTTTTTTCCCCCAACTGAAATTATGCCTTTTAAATTCGAATATAATTCGAATTTTGATCATATTTAAGTGGAAAATTCGAATTTTTAAATTCGAATATAATTTGAATATTGATAATATTTAAGTAGAAAATTCGAATTTATTTTTCAGCCATTTTGACAGCCCTAATAACACACACACACACACACACACCTACACACACCTGTTACCAGACACCTGCTGAAGCTCACCTGCTCTGTCAAGTCACCTTTATTTATATATATATATATATATATAGCTCTTTTAACAATACAGATTGTGTCAAAGCAGCTTTACAGCATTAATTAGGAAAATATTGTCAAAAATGACAATAGTAAACACTCAATTCGGTGATGTCATCATCCAGCTCAGTTCAGTTTAAATAGTATCTGTGCAATCAAGTCGACGATATCGCTGGCAATTAAGTGTGTGTGTGTGTGTGTGTGTGTGTCAGTGCGTCTGATGTAGTGAAGATGGACATGCAGCCCAAGTGTGTCAGTGTGGGTCCAGGAGGTCTTGCTGTCACCGTGTGCATTGGACAGGTACAGAAACACATATACACACACTCTCTCTCACACACTCTCTCACACACACTCTCTCACACACTCACAGACACACACAAACTCTCTCTCTCTCTCACACACACACACTCTCTCACACACTCACAGACACACACAAACTCTCTCTCTCACACACACTCTCTCTCTCTCTCTCTCTCTCTCTCTCTCTCACTCTCTCTGTCTCACACACACACACACACACACACACATACAGGTAAATAGGTACTAAGATCTGTGGCAAGTTGCATAATCTGCTTATACAAGTATTACAATTTTATTGCTAAATTTCTTTAAGACTGCACATAATAAAAAATAATAATTATTATTACACAAGCAAGCAAAGATAAAAAATAAATACAAAACACCACAAACACTCCGCATATACAGATAAAGTGCAGTAAAGACTCAATAAAACATTATAAGAAAGCCTGTATAAAAAGATATGTCTTAAGACGCGTTTTAAAAGTCAGCAGGCAATCACTGTTCCATAGGCGGGGGACAGCACAGCTAAAAGATCTGGCACCCATGGTAGTTACTCAAATCCGAGGTACCACAAGAGAAGTTGAAGATGAGGATCTGAGAGCATGTGAAGGGGTGTAAACATGAAGAAGTTGAGTAAAGTATTGGGGTGCAAGATTATGAAGTGCCTTGTAAGTAAGTAGCAGAATCTTGAATTCAACTCGATACTTTACTGGAAGCCAGTGCAACTGCTGAAGAACTGGAGACATGTGCTCAGTAGAGGGTGTTCTAGAAAGAACACGAACTGCAGAATTCTGGACCAGCTGGAGCTAACGTAGCAATTTAGAGGGAACACCAGTGAGAAGGGCATTGCAGTAGTGTGCTATCCATGATGACACCCAAACTTTTAACCTGAGAGGAAGGACAGATTGCATTATTGTCAATGTACAAGGAAAAACAATTAGATTTAGACAAAACCGATCTAGTGCCAACAAGTAGGGCCTCAGTTTTGTTCCAGTTTAACTTCAGGAAGTTAGCTGAAAGCCAATCTTTAATTTCAGCTAAACAGCTGGACAAAGATGGTGGAGGAAAAGAACCAGTGGGTTTGGCAGACAGGTAAAGTTGGGTGTCATCCGCATAACAATGAAAATGAATACCATGTTTCCTCAAAATATAACCAAGAGGGAGTATATAAATAATGAAAAGAAGCGGGCCCAAAACAGAACCCTGGGGAACACCAGTGGTGACTGTAGATGTTCTAGATCTGAAACTTTTTAATTGAATACGCTGAGTGCGTCCAGAAAGATACGACCTAAACCAAGACAGAGGAGTGCCAGTAATCCCAACAGAAGCTAACCTGTCGAGAAGTATCTTATGTGAGACAGTATCAAAGGCAGCGCTCAAGTCAAGAAGGACAAGTATGGTTAAACGCCCAGAGTCAGCTGCCAGCAACAGATCATTGGTTATTCTGACAAGAGCAGTCTCAGTGCTATGGTTGGGACGAAAACCAGATTGAAATTGTTAATACAAATTATTATTAGAGAGATGTTCATGAATTTGAAATGCAGTACACTTTTCCACTATCTTAGAGATAAACGGTAAATTTTAAATTGGACGAAAATTATTTAAGTTAAATGGATCAGCCCCTGGTTTCTTAAGTATGGGAGTAATAATAGCAGATTTAAGAGATGGAGGTACAGAACCAGAAACAAGTGAAGTGTGAACAATTTTAGTAATCAATGGCGACAGGGCTGGTAAACAAGCTTTTCACTAAAGGAGTTAGTAGAGGGTCTAACTGACAAGTCGAAGATTTAGATTTATTTATCAGACCCACTATCTCTGAAGTAGATATCCTCAATCCTCAATTTTTTATATATATATTTTGATGTTTACAAAAAATGTATGTAGATTTATAACACTATACTTTGTATTATGTCTCATTTGCATCAAATTACAAAAAACTAGTTACGCTAATGCGCGGGTGTTTCTAATGCAGAGTCTATGGGAGGGACGGTAAATTTGACATCGTTCTGACTGCCGTTATCAGTCTCGCTCAGTTTTTTCCTTTGAGTTTTCCTTTTGCTATTTGAGCAAATGGGAATGCAAAAAATATATTTGTGGTACTCTCCCATTCACTGCTCTTCAAGTTAACCCAACTATGATGACTTCCGCTGCTGAGAAACACGCAAATGTGAAAAGGGTCTATTATTATTATTATTATTATTATTATTATTATGATGACTGAATTTATTAAATGTAAGAATCTGACTAAAATTATGCATACATTTAAGATAATAGTCATAACCTCTTTTGTTGTCATTAAAACAGCTTTTTTGGGGAAAATACATTGCACTGGGTCAAAATGTCATTGAGAAAAACAAAAACACAGATAATTTGCATCGGTGTATATGTCGTATTTTATTATTACATTCAGAAATAATGTCAAATTATTTAAAGTTGAAATGTTATATAGTATGTATTGCTTTATGTGAGTGCACTGTATGTATGCAGATAAGTAGTTTGTACTGTATATACTCCTAAAAACTGCAATGCAAACAGTGAAAATATATATTTATTCATTTTATTTATTTTCCACCTGTTTTGTAGAATCTGTATCAGGAAATGAGTATTTGATTAAATGAGTATGTCATATATCTAGTGCTGTCAAACGATTAATCGCGATTACATAATATACTGAATATGTGTGTGCTGTGTATATTTATGATGTAAATACACACACATGAATGCATATTTAAGAAAAATATATTTATATATAAAAGTAATATTTATATAAAATATAAATTATATGTGAATATAAATTAGTGCTGTCAAACGATTAATCGCATCCGAAATTATTTGTTTAAATAAAGTTTTTGCTTACATAATATATGTGCACTGTGTTTATTTATGTGTATATATAAATACACATTTACATGTATATACATTTATATAAGTACATTTTATATTATATATAAATATATTTAATATATAAACAACATATTTATCTTAAATATATACATGCATGTGTATGCATTTACATATACATAGTAAATAGACACAGTACACACACATATACTATGTAAACAAAAACTTTTATTTTGGATGCGATTAATCGTTTGACAGCACTAATTTATCATAATTATGTAATTCCAGCAGCAGTACTGAGTGTTTGTTTTGTGCAGCTGGTGCTGCTGAAGGACAAGAAGAAGCTCTTCACGCTGGACTCTCTGGGATACGAGCCCGAGTCCGCAGCCGTTCACCCTGGGGGCGGAGCCGTGGCTGTGGGCGGAGCTGTAAGTCACCAATCAGACACTGGCTATTAGCATAATCACTGAAGCTCAGACTGATGGGGTGTGTGTGTGTGTGCAGGACGGGAAGGTGCGTCTGTACGCGGTTCAGGGAAACACCCTGAAGGATGATGGGAAGGTGCTGGAGGTGCAGGGGCCTGTGACGGACATGTCGTACTCTCAGGACGGAGCGTTTCTGGCCGTGACGGATGAGAAGAAGGTCATCACTGTGTTCACCGTCGTTGATGGATACACGGTAAACTCCTTTCACTCTCAGATCTCAGATAAACTCCTGCATCAGTAATGAACAGCTGTTTGATTCACACTCCCTCACTGTTCAGAATGATATTCCTCCGCTTCCTCTGATATAACCAGAGTTGTGTTTCTTAATATGCATAAACTAGGAATGTCCAGAGAATTAAAATAATTATAATTCAAATTTTAAAACCATGCATTTTATGATTCTAGAACGTTTAAGAGCTGAATGTTCTCCAGGGTTCCTGCTCTCTTTAACCAGTCCATGACTTTTATAGTCATCCGTGATTTTATGGATAAAGACTTTTAAATGTATCTTTTATTTTTACAATTTGTATTTGATAAAATATCTTAGAGCTTGGCTTAACTATAGAAATATATTAATTATAAAAACCTCTATGGAGTTTTCAGATTTTAAAAGCATTTTTACTCACAGTTTCTATCTGATGAAATATTTTATATTTTATATTTCATCTTAACATAACTAGAAGAAATGTATATATTCTACTCCTGTCAAACGATTAATTGCATCCAAAATAAAGGTTTTTGTTCACATAGTATATGTGTGTGTACTGTGTATATTTATTATGTGTATATATAAATGCACACCCATGCATGTATATATTTAAGAAAATTTACATTTATATATTAAATATATTTATATACAATATAAATTATATGAATATACATGTAAATACATCTAAGTATTTTCAAAATATATGCTGCATCTGTGTGTCTATATAAATATATATAATAAATATAGGACAGACAGAGCAGACAGTTAGCATGTTTAGGTAAGAAACCGCTTCACAAACTCTTTTCAACTACACAGTATTATTTCTGTCTTACAGTCATTCATA